TAAGCAGACTCATGAAGACAAATCCCTTCTGACCACTACCTTGAATTACCTAGTGGCATTTCAGAATATATCTAACTTTGGTGTTTCACTGCATAAATGCATCCCTGAAGTTAATCATATATGTCCATACACTTCTGAAGAGGTTATGTGCACTCGTGCTCTGCTGAAATTGTTACAAGACTCAAAGGGGAAATTGTGGCAATAGATTGGATCAGATGATCAGGAATGCCTTCTCAACCTCGTTAATCTGTGAATATTTTTAAAGTTAAGTACATGTGCAAAGACTTTGTTGAATCTGTTTCAACACCTTAATGCTTCAGAGTAACGTTAACTATCTGCTAACCAAGACGATATTCAAAAGAGAGAGAGAATTGGGAGCAAGAACCAGCTCCTGGATAATTTGGAAATACTCATGTCTGGAATAGGGAAAAGTCTCCAGAGCATGCCCTGATTCTGCAGTCTGTCTACTGCAGAATTCCTCGAGTCCTTCTACTTCTAATTTTTATACTGCAGCTTCTCAAAGAATCCTATCTTTTCAGGGAGCACAAATTTGATGTTATATCCATTTATACTGTAGAAATGTTGACCTTGTTTAAGTATTTCACCACCTGAGGTCTGAATGATTGAGGGCGAGACTGTTCTTCACTGCTTTGTTGAATACTACAGCTGTGTCTACAGACCAGTCTCTGAACAAGGGTTTTAATAAAAGCTATTTTTCTTGCCTGAAAACTATCATACCAAAATATAGGGTTCACACAAACAAAGGAACAAAATCTTGCAAGCGAAGACAAGCACCTCTTCCCCCCAGTAAAATAAGTTTGGTTTACACCACACGATACAGATGAAACCATGCCATATCCTCAATAAACCCCCAGTTAGCTGTAAAGGAAAAAGGAGAAGCATTTCTAGCCAAGAGCTATTTAATCCATGTTTATTGCCTCTTTTCCTTGTTTAGACTTCTGAGAAAGTGTTTAGATGGGACTCGGAAAAAACAAATATCTGGATTCTCCCTCCCCACTCCCATTCTCTCCCTCATTTGCCCACAAACTAGGTGCACAGACAGACTACTGAGCAAAGGATCCTCCTGTTCAGGCTTTGGCAACACACCTTGGTATATCAGTAGGAGCTATTTTGTTCCCAATCTCTGACCAATCCCAAATTTCAGATCTGAGGCTGTATTACCCAAACCAAATAATCCAGCTGCTCTTTGAAAGTGTTCCCATTTGTGCTATCTACACAAACAAGCCAATTTTCTTCAGAGTCCTAAGTTTATGTTAAAGGACTAGTGCTACAAGTCCATTTAGCACAGCTGCAATGGACTGAGTCCAGTGGGAGCATCTGAGAAGAAGGTTTTTGTAGAAAAGGAGGTCTCATCAGCTACTGTCAAGAAGAAATCAACAGAGTGAAAAGGGTCCCTTAGTCAAGGAGAAAAAAGTAAGTCATAAATGCCCCCATAAATGAAAGAAAATATTGCTGAAGATATTACAGAGGTTGCCTTTGGCATGTGGAAGTCATAACAACATGTCTCTGCACCCCACAACCGATAGAGAAGACTCCTTGCAGAATTGGCTTTTGGAGACTGCCATGGCCTAATCAAACACATAAAAGTTGTTCCCTCTGCCTGGGTGCCAGAGTTGCAAGTGTCTTGATCCTGCCATCAGCCGCTTATGTCTGCCCATTCATCTGTAACAGACTGACCATTGAATTAGCTCTCACCATGCAATTAACCTGATTACACAGAGGGAAGACACTCCACTAAGATAACTCAGGAGAGCAGTATGGGGGTCCTCTCCACAGGGACATGGAATGACACTGTCAGGTTACCCTGTTATTAGGAACCAATCACCCTCAATGCAGCCAGACCTGGTGCCTACTGAGCTGCGTGTCAGCCTCTGCATGGCTCTAGACAGCTTCAGGGAACATAATCCCAGTCAGTGCAGCAGGAATTCAGTGCATTCACTAACAGCACCACTTCCAGCTTCACTTGGGTTTCCCTGCACAGATTTGTATTGAACAGGCTTCCACTTTGGGATCTCATCCTCAGGATTACATGGTGCTGATGTACCTGAGGAACAGGGGACCTCAGAGGGAGATTTACCACACAGCACCAGCATTAGGTGGGACACAACACTCTGGGGCTTTGCTTAGCAAAATTAAGGAGCAGACATAAGTCCGAAGTGCCACCAAAACTGATTCCATTGCTCAAAATAATTCTATTTGCAAAGCAATGCTTGTATTCAGTTCGGCAGACAACTGTTGTGCCAATGAGGTACACACTTGGCTGCCAAGGTTGTTACTGATGTTCACAAATAATGTGGCACAATTTAAGAGGATTTATAGGGCGAAACAGGTCATGCACGGATCCAAAATTCACATATGCATTTTGGGTGGGTTTGTTTTACACCAGTTCTTGTTTGGTCTCACAGGTGAAAGCTCACCAGTGAAGAACAAAAGCAGTTCTGACCTGAACTAAATCTGTAACATGGATGCATGCTTTCATTGCTTGCCATGACAGAGCTCAGCTGTACTACACTCATTAGCCAGTTCAGAAGAAGATTTGGCTGAGAGGAAATCACAGGAATCACAGCAGGCCAGGAAAGTCTCAGATACCATATCCCTGTTATTACCCAGAACTCCTCCCAGAATAAGGCTTTCTATAGAGCACTGCAGTCATTTCTCACACCTGTACCCAAGGCAAGGGCAACTTCCCATCCAACAGCACCTGATTTTCACCACCAATCTTCTCACTCCCCCCCTACCAGCCAGCTCACCTCCTCCTCCCAGTACCAGATCCAAAAGGCAACTCTTCACACTTTGCAACTTGAGCCAACTAGAAAAAGAAAACCTACCCACTGCCAAATTTAGTCCCACACAGTCCCAGCCAGTTTCTCACATTCTTCTGCATTCACCTTGTAAGAGGCATTTTCCTCTCCTCTTAGCAATCTCAGGATTTCAGGAGTGTGGAGAACCCAGTCACATTAACTCTGAATACTGAACTACCCTTTATAGTAAAAGTTCTAGAGAGTGGGTCTTGTGAAAAAAAACAAACAAACAAACAAACCAGAAACAAACCCACAAACATTGTTTTGACTTGGCTATAAATCAAAGTTCTTGAATCATTAGTTTTTATTCACCCTACTTGCTTCAGGATTTGCTGTGACAAGAGTAGTGAATTCAATAGAGAAGGAAAAATTCTGACATATTAGTGCTGTTTTCAGAAAAGTATGCAGAGCAACTGACTGAAAAGGTGTGTGGGGAGGGGTTGTTTGGTTCCCTTGAAGAATTGCTTTCTGCTTGTAGGAAAGTGGCCAGCTGGGAAAAGAAAAGAGAATGAAATATTTAATATGAGCTCAAAAATAAGTCAAGTTCTGAGAGTATATCTTCATTTTTGAAGGAGTATCTGGATTTTACTTGAAAACTAGAAAGATTATGGCAAAGAATCTTATGTTATCTCAAAGCTAAAGAAAAGAACTTCGACATCACTATTATCTTTCTTTTGTTAAACCCAATACTGAGCTTGAATAAGAGATTACAGGACGTTTTGTATGAGACAGAAGCAAAGAGAGAGAAGTGAACATGAGATTTAATGTGTTATTTCAAATTTTACTTTGAATTACGTTAAAACAAAACTGCAATTCAATTCAAAAACCTTACTTATGCCCAGGTATACTTTCCATCTAAGAAACTAATTTTTAAAGCAACACCAATAATCTTTTTTAAATCAAACTTATCATAAGAAGATAGAATCAGAATAAAAAATTACCACGCCTTCCTACAATCTGGTACCCAAATATGAGTGCATGTAAATATATGATTATTATGCTAGCTAGGTTTGTTTCTCAATTCACTATAGAGAGAAGTGTCCATGAGCAACTCCTCTTTCAAAAGGAATCTTTCCATCAAAACTGGACTATATTAGTAGAAAATAATGTGTAAAGGAAAGAAAAACTCTTGTAGGACAAAGGCAGTGGGAAAGAGAACAGGGCTTCCCACACTGAATATGAGCAGGTAGGAAGAGAAAAGAAGGAAGAACCTCCCACAGAGACAAGTATGAGCAGGTATATCAGACGCTGATCTGATCATTGGGGATGGGAAGTTGCAAGGCAGTGTTGAGCTTCTGAGAGGAAATGCAAAGGAAATGGAGAAACAAAGTGCTCCCAACATTGCACCTATGCAAAAGAGACAGAAAATCTCCCAGGGACATGAGGACTTGGGCAGTACAAATGCAGATAACTCAGAAGGGTGAGAGATGGAAAATGAGGCACAAGTTTGTTGCTGTTTTACACAGTTTAATGATCATCTTGCAACAGGTACAACCAATCCCTATACTGCTGTGTATCGACCACTCTTCCATTAGGATAACCCCAATCATCTGCAGTTATCCAATATGTTTACAGAGAGTCTTAGCCATATGTTCCTATGTTCCTATCAAAGCCCTGCTGAAATCCTCTGAGTGAATGCCAGATTGCCATGCTTGGTGTGATACCATGGCAACTCAGAGACCCCCCCCCCACCCCCCCCATCACAACTGAATTCTGATGGTCCTTGAAAGAGTTTCACAAAGCACAACAAGGACTGTGGCCCCATCACCGTGGGAGATACAGGGACACAAACAAAAATAATTACTATTGTCTGAACAACAGAATGCAGGGGAAGAGACAGAGAAGAGACCCTTGGGTTCAAAAGTGGACACTGAAAACTAGGCAGGGAAATTCATCACTGCATTGGTCAAAATCGATCAGTTTTTCAGCTTTTGCATACTTCAGCCTCACACTGTCTTTGCATGCACTAACACCCCTGTGCACAACTGAATGACTTTCCAAAGTCTGCTAGATGATGTGTTTTCCCTTCTGGGAACTTCAGGTCTTCAAAAGAAATAATGAGGTCATTGAATGAATCTAAAGGAGATTTTTGGTATTATAATACTTTTAGAAGTAAAATACAGTTACTTCTGAAAGTGTCTTTCAGATAGATCATTGTAATTGATTTTTTGAAATCTTAGAGAAAGTTTGCTGCCGATTTTCCTTGATGAGATGAAAAGAAAGAAAAGGAAAAGTGATGGAAGAAAGAGAATTCCCATAATTTTCAGGACAGGGAAAGAGTGAGGCCAGGAGGGTGCTTGAGAGAATGAGCACGGATAGCCGAGATGACCTGTTTGTTTTCATTAACTCCTTGTCTTTAGTCTCCAAGAAGCAAGCTATTCAAACTGATTACCACTTGAATTCCTTTGAGGTAATTGTTGCAGGGTGTGCAGACAGAAGCATGCATGCTTTGAGACCAGTCTATTCTACCTGGAGGCAGTGATTCATACAATACCAAGCATACAGAAAGCATGAAGCAGCAGATTTTTCTTTTGAAAAATACCAACACCAGAAAAATCTTCTTTCCTGGTTAGCATACTAGAATGATTAAATACTTTAGCCTGATTAAATAGTTTTAAGTACAACATAAATGTTAAGACATGGTTTACTACTGCTGCTTTCTTATAGAAAATAGTTACTCTATACACAGCAAGTGGAAACTGCTTCTCAGCACAAAGTCAAACCCTCAACTTGTACTCTATATCAAAAATATTATTATTGTTTTGAGAAATGCATGAAGTTATCAAGGCATCTAATACCATGTTTTCCTTGTGTGTTCTCCTCTTTCCCCTCATTATTAGGTATCAAACCTGCTCAAACAATGGGCTGGTGGCCGGTTTCCAGAGTCAGTATTTTCCATCGGTGCTGGACCGTGAATGGCAGTTTTATTGCTGCCGCTATAGCCGGAGGTGTCCATATTCCTGCTGGTGAGTTCAAGCAGACACCAAACCTGTGATCCTCTTTCCCCCAACATTCCCTGTGAGTGCCTTTGGCTGCTTGACCTGTCTGAAAAAGAGTTAACTGTGCTTTATGGAGCTAAGCATGTTATTTCCAGTCTGCTACAGGATTCTTAAGGATCCAGGGCTAAGGGAAAGAATAAGGGCTCAGTTAGACTGAACAGCTGGCCCTCGATTAACAGCTCTGGGGATCAGCATCAGCCTTGCTGTGCTGGAAACCATGACAGAAATCTCCAAACTGGAGTGATATTTTCCTGCTATAAATCCAGCACTATTTGCATCTCTGTGCTATACATTTGTACCACAATGACTTACAAGAGTGAACTTTTCCCACTCACCGCAGAAAAAATATTGGTAGTGCATCTGAATATGCTTTTTCTCTCAAAACTCTTTAATGATCAAAGTCAAAATGAGCTCCTGATCATAAACCCAAAATGAAAATATTGTCTCATCTTAGCAGAGTATCACAACTAGTGCTGGCAACTTAATGGAGACTGTGAAAAAATGAACTATGCATCCCAAGCTTCCCAGTTGCTTGAAACACACCACAGCTGTAGTTTCTCTAAATTAAAACCAAAAACAGGAGAAGATTGTGTAGAGGCAGCTTGTATTTCTCCTGTCCATTCTGTCCAAGAGAAGTAATAATTTTATGGTCCAGGGTTACATTCGGCTTAAATTTAGCTATTTTCAGTGATAGAAAGAATAACCTGCCTACATTTAAGAAAAAAAAAAAAAAAAAAAAGGAATTAGAGGGAGAAAAAAGTAAACCTGTGCTTGAACCTTTTTTTCCCGGACCTCAGCCTTGAAGAAGGCTTCCCACGAGATTCATAAAAACTGTTTATGTGCCTGTTGGTCTTACTTAGCTGGCTGGCTACTGGCCAAACACAACAGCACTGCCTTGCTTTTCATCCTTCAGTCTCCTTGCAGCCAGGAGGAAAAGAAATGTTTTTATTATCATTATTTTTAATGCCTCTAGGAACTCTGTAACAAAGTCTTTGAACATTCTTTTGAACGTTTCTCTGCCTCCTTTCCAGCAAACGTTGCCTATGGATGTTCCCTACCTGGGGGTTTATTTACATACCTACCCAGGCTCTTCCCTCTGAGGGAAACTCACTCAGACTTTTAAACAATCCTTCCAATCTCTTGTACTCCTCTAATATTGCACACATTTTCAGAGACAAAACAGAAATCTCTGATTTTATTTTTTTTTTTTTTGTTGTTATCATGGACAAATCTGCTTCCCTCAGATGTTGATGTGACAGCTTTGTCTCTGCTTTGCAAGTTGGCATTCAGAGTAGAGTAAGGCAAATCCTAATGTAAATGTTTGGGGTTACTGGATTCTTTAGTTTTCATCTCAGCTGCATATAGAATCCTATACTGCCCTTCTATTTCCAACAGTGACAATGCTCAATTTTTGTGCTTGGGAAAGAGATCCTTATGTAGTTCACCTGCAGTTCCATGCAGAAAAGGCAGCATTTCAAAAACAGGTGAAGCATTTTTCCCTCTAAGCATGGGTAGAAATCCCATGTGCTCGCATTCTTCTGGGACGCAAAAGCTGTAAAACTTGTAGGAAGCTGTGTCACCTGGCTTGTGCACAGTTTGTGATTATGGGTCCATTAAAAAAACATTCTGCCTTTAGAGTTAGCAAGGTGTATGTATATAAACTCTTTCCACATACAGTTACCCAAATTAAGATATTAGGGTCTGGATGGACAGACAACTAGATTAACCATAAAATATAATGACTTAACAGGCTCAGAGGGCAGTGGTTAAAGGGTGATAACCTGCCGGGGTGCCTGTCCTGATGAATATCTCTAGCAATGACCTTGAGGAGGCAACAGAGCACATACTGGCCAAGTTTGCATGTACTGGGGGGTGCAGCTGGCATGCTTAAGGGCAGGACTGCCAGTTCAGTGGGGTGTAAAGAAAACTGCTTCTTCTATGAAGAAGCAGAGGACAGATTGCCCATTGAGGCTCCTTGGAAGCTTTCATGACTGAACCAAATAAAAGCTAAGAAGCCTGGTCTGACCTTGTTGTTGACCCTATTTGGAGCAGAGGGCTTTTGCAGAGACTTTTTGAAGTCGTTTTCCACCAGAGTTATCCTGGGATCCCACATAGGAGGACTTTTTTACTGGAGGACCCACACCATGCGGAAAGTCTCTCCTCCATAAAAGCAGATTCCTTTTCTATCCTGTGCTAGGAATGGTTTCTTTTCTGGTTTACTCTCTTTCCCTGCCTAGACAGTGTAGTAATACTCTGGGCGAGTGCTGGTGGTTATGGTAACATATAACCAACATGAACTTCTCTGGGGTAGAGTGAAACCCCATGCTTTGGACTCACTTTTACTCATGAAGTCACAGATGTGACTTGTCTGAGTTGCTAAATTTCAATGTACAGAAACCAAACTTCCCATCCCCTAAGCTCAGGAGATCTCACTCGCAACATAACTTCAATTGGAATTTCCAAGCTGTTGCCACGAGACCTTGTTCATACATCATGTTTCTGGTCTGTATCTTGCACTGGTTAACATGCACTTAACAGTAAGAATATGTTTTCCAAACAAACTGCAAAGTAGTTCTGGGCTACCATGAGTCAGACCTCATATTGTATATGCATGTGAGACACAACAAAACTGTGTTTGTAGAGTGTATCTTATTTATTGCAGTTTCTGCCCCAAACGATAATAGTATTTGTTCTGTTCCAAGAACTTATTGTTAATAAAGTAATTGTGGAAAATTGGCAATTAACATGCTGCTGACTCCTATTTTTTGGTTGGAGAAGCTTATTTTCATGCAAAGGCTTCTATTAGTATATGACAATGTGGAAAAGTAATACCAGGAAAGTGTGCAATGATGGTGGTACTTTGTGGATCATACGTTACACAGGAAAATCCATATCAAAGAAAATCCACGCTGCAGAATTTCTCAGCAGCCTTGATTTTTAACATGCAATGTATCCTTAAGTATGAAACCAGATGTGGGCAGAAATGCATTTTTAAGAAAACTGACAATCTTGAGGTGTGACAAAACTCTGTTTCAAATGAGCTCTCACCTTGAGTAATTGATTCCTTCCTCTTCCAGTTGTCTCCATACAGGCCCCTCCAGTACATATAAAAGCAGTATACCAGCTGATCCTTATGTATGGTTTCTCTTGTCTCTTCTGCTTCAGGACTGCATTCTTCCTGAAGCGATATTCCTCCTACAATGAATAAAGAGAGGTTTTCTTATGTGCATGAGCCATACAACTGATTTTTAGAATTTGCCCTGGGTTTTACACCTGTAATATCCCTGTGTTTTTTGAAAACTGCTAGTATTTGTTGGAATACTAATTTACAACACCATCATGTTGACTGACACCAATGCTTTGCTTTCACTTTGCTTAATAAAATGAATGAAGTCAAATACATGCAGAAGGAGTTTATTTGTTAGCATTTATATCCTCACTCCTTGAATCCTCTAGTTCTGTTTCACAGCTCATCCTCTTGCCATTAATTCCCAGTTTTCCTGTGCAGTAAGCTCATATTGAAAATAAATTTACTAATCTTTTCCAGTCTCATAGTTTTGCACTTGCTTTGTTGATTTTTTTTACAAGTACTTCGTTTCCTTCTTCATCATGCCAAGATTTGTCACGGATTCGGCACATTTTTAACATACTGAAAAAAATTAACATTCCTTACAGGAGGCAGAAAAGCTCTCTTTTCTTTACCTGGCTAGGGAATGCTACCACAGTAAAATAAACCGTGTGCTGATTTGCACCATAAAGGAAGCAAATCTATCACAGATGCAGGGACAGTGTCACTAAGTGCTCCCATTAGAGCTCCGTTTTTTCTCTTTGACAGGAAATGAAAGCTTGACTCCATACTCTACAAAGCAAACACATGTCACAGAGCAGCCCCGAGCCTGCAGACTGTTTATGACTGTTTTCCTTCTCAAAACAATGAGCAGTTTAAATGCCAGAAGGTCTGTCTGGAGCTGTGGCTGCTTTCTGTCATGGTGACACTGTCCAGGCAACAATTACATTTTCCAAGAGTTATGGGGTTTAAAGTACTTATTTGTTTTTCTAACTCAACCTGCCACACAAGACATATTGAAAATGATGTGATCCTCTGCAGGTTTCTCAGAGATAACCAGTAGCAGAGGTACAAATCCAAGACGTGAACTCAGAGTAGATGTCGTGGAAACACACCGTTCTGGACAATCCAATTCTCCTCCCCTCTTTTTCCATTTTTGAGAAGGTATTTAACTGTTGGGGGAGGTTAATTTTTAAATTTTTATTTTAATATTACCCATCAAATACAACCTTGCAGTTCAGTCTGCAGGACCATCTTCCAGAGACATTTTAGGAGAAACACATTTGATCTAACATTGTAAATCTGCCCAAGTTATTTTGGACATATTTCTTGAGGAACAGGCACAAATTGCCTTGAGCTCTCTGCTGCTGCTTGTACCTGCATTGCACGAGCTCGTGCAGGTTTGGAAGAACGGTGCTGCCACTGTGCTGGCCTCCAGCTTCATGGATCCTCAGCCCTGGGAGGGCTTGTGGCTTTCAGTGCAACACAGTGGGAACACAGCAGTAATGTGTCTGTGTGAATCTCTGGGCTTAGAGCCTGAAGCCTGAGCTCAGTCCCAAAACACATGACATGGCCACACAAGAGAAGTTCTCATCTCTACAGGAGCTCCAGGACATCCTTAGCTCCCTGGGAGCTTGGCAACCTGGGATCTGTACTCAGAGCAGTTGCTGGAATTTCTGTAGACAGCTTACTAAGACCTTCTTTGGCTTTTCAGCACAGGATGCTTCTAAAAGCAGATGACACCTGTCTTCCAGCTGGAGGAAGGGTTGAAAGAGGCATACAATTCCCATGTTCATTGAATGTAACTTGCAGGCTTTTGGTTCTTGAAAAAAAATTCTCCTTCAGGAAAGACATACTCTTGAAGCACTTGTAAACAACATCTGAAAGTAAGGCCATGAAGTCAGGAGTGTCAGGGGATACTCCTTGTCCTCAAATGTCAGAAAGTTAATGTCAAAGCTTATGTCTTCCTCTTGAAATGGAACAGCTCTTTCTTTTGGCTGTGGCATTGTTAGAAGAAGAGTTCAGCCACAAAGAGGGAAACGAAGGTCAAAGAGAAGCCATTCATCTTGTTAGCACTGTAATTGCACAAGAAGTGAACAGCATAAGATATTCCAAAACCATGTACTTATGATCAGGGAATAAGTATATTCCACATTGGAGCCAGAAACTATTCTACCACTATCTTTCATATTTTAAGAGACTCATTTCATTTGTCTGCTTGGTAGCTGAAAGCAAGGCATACCCACAGTTCTCATTTATCTCTTTAATCAGCAGGCTGTAAATATTAAGGCCATCAATGTGACTTGATCTTCTTATTGGTAAATAATGGACTCAAGATAACTATTTCTGAAACCAATTGTTATAAGAGTGCCATGGATCACTGTAGATTAGTACAAAACCTTCTTCTCAGTGCTAAATTAGTAATTCTGTGTTTTCTATTAATCTGTACCATAGCAATTCTTCATGGAAAATAAGCAACACAGCTGTTTTCAGATTAAAATAAAAACAACAGCAACCCTGGTAAAGATTTAATGCTTCTTTTTTTCAATACATAGCCTACCCTGAGCAAGATTTATAGGATTATAGTGAATTAGAAAAATGTGTGGATGGTTGGAGCAACAGAAACATCTGAAAAGATAAACCATTCCACATCAACCTCATTCTAGCTAAAAATGCCATTATGAAAATACCCTTTTCTGTCAGCTTGTCCCACTGTCTCACACACAGGCCAAACTACTTACACCCATTATCACAAGATTTCCTTTCCTAGTCCTTAACACAGAATTACCTTCTTTCTCCTCTCTATACAATACCACCGGTGCTTCAAGTCTCTTTTGCCCAAACATCATACACCCGGTGCTATCCAGAAGTAGATTTGAAAAGCTGAACCAGAGTTTCTGTTTTCTGTATTTTCTTGCAGACAGACCATATGGTCTGAAAGGACTACCACTTGTTAAAGGTCTCACATTACTCTTTTCTCCCCTACAAGTACTTCCCCAAACTTAACACCTGTGTGTGTATCTGGGTTTAACAAACAGTTCCACTAAATGTTCCCTGCCCCTCAGCGTTTGTTTGGCACCGAATTACTCAGTGCCTAGAGCCCACAGTTGCTATAACACACATCTCACAGCTGCTTTGCCAGCCTCTTTCCTAAGGTTCCCTGTCACCTACCCCCTCAGGCACCACAGGCACCCCGGCTGCGTTATACAACACCCCAAACAGCAGCAGCAACCTTGGGCACTTGGCAATTCCCAGGCTCCTCACTGCTCCCCATGGCAAATTCTCTTTGCTATGAATTCAATGCCAGAAGTGCTTACAGGGCACTGTGAAGGTTACTGTGCATGGCTTTTCCCACCTGGAAAGACCCTGGGCAGGCAAATCCTCACTAACTAGGGCAGGAAGTGTCTCACACTAATTTTGTGGCTCCCCTCGGGTAGAAACCATACATTGCCACACATGGCTTACAAATGCTACCATGTTTGTAAATAAATTATGTGTCTGTAGGGCCATAGTAGGTGGGTCAGAACTTAATATGCACTTTGTATTAATTAGTGACTAAAACATGTAACATTTTCAGTTAAGTACTTGATAATATGGGAACAGACCAAGCTACAACAAAACCTAAGGGACCCACTCTCCTGTGCCAGGCAGATCCCTTTGGGAAGACCCTCAATGGCTGTCTTAAATGACCTTTTTCCCCTTCGTTATGAGAAAACCACATACTGACTATCCCTATGCAGTAAACACTAGGGCATCTCTAGGGCAGACACATTTTGTGTGAATTACCCTCAGGATTCAAAAAATGGAGATAATAGAAAAGGAATGGGACACACCACAGACCCCTGCTACATGGATGATCAATTGCATTTCCTTCTAAAGGACATAGTGCAACCCAGACAACTTTGAAATGCAGAGGCTTAGGGGAAAAATTTCAGAAATAAGTACAGTAATCATCAAAGAGAAATTAATTAGACAGACCACACAGACTCATGTGAACTTGAACACTGCTGTCATAGCACTATTTATAATTTTCTCTCCAGAACAAAAGGAACCAGTAGGCATCTGCCGATGAAACAAGACACACTTCAGAGCAGCTCAAGTCCCAAATAATTTATTTTTGGCAATTGCATAGATTTGCTTTTTGAACATTTCTTAGTGGAGGAGCCTTAAGAGGCTGCATGGTAATGTGGAGAAGTTAATACTGAGAGAGGAGAAGATGACAGCAGTCAGAAAGAAAAGAGAGGGAAGCTAAATGAAGACTCCCACTGCACTTCAGAATAACACTGCATGCCTCTGCTAATGGTCTGTGAGACCATAGCAATTCAGAAGTTTGTCATCAGATTTAATTTTCAGCTGAGAGGCCCATGAAAGAAGTTCGAAGAACTGACTCTCAGTACTATTTCTGAGTAGAGAAAAAAAACAGCTTTTTAACCTTGTGTTGTGCACAGTCTCATCTGCCCAGCACATACTGCTGGTCAAGATTACAGAACATTTCCCTTGCTGAGTGCCAAACAGATGTTCTGCAACACATTTGGTAGAACATACAGAAACACATGTCTTAGTAGTTTCTCATAACAATAGCTAAGCAAAGTGTCAAAACCTGGAGCTGATGGGAGAGTAGCAAAGCGCCGGTCCATAGCTGGTCTTCATTTTAAAAACCCTCTATGACCCTGGATTTTCTGAAGATGAACTATGAGACACAGGCATCAAATTAGTAAACTAGATATGGAGACTCTCCTCTGGCTAAGTGGGCAGCATTCATGGTTTCTTCTCTTTCTCCTAGTCTGCAGCATCTGTCTGCATGACCTGTGAAATACGGCTGTTATTTCTTATCAATGGCAGAGCACCACATGGGCTTTGCACATCCATGTGTCCTTGGTCAGAGCTCAGAGAACAGACACTGTGACTAGGCCTGACTTTCTGCATCCCAAACACACTCTGGGATGGGTGTCCTTGTACTATAAATCAGAATCTGTCTGATGATTTTCATGGCCAAAGGAAAGGAAGCATGAGAAGAAGATGTATTCAAAGAAGTTGACTGATTAGACTTGAGACTATTATAAGGTCATGTTTGAGTTTCATATGCAGACACATTTTTCATTTGTCAAGGAAAAATGATTTGTTGGGAATGATGTTATAACTGAATGATCTTTCACATTCAAAAGCTGAATATGACCTGGAAGGCAACCTAATAGTCCAGAGTATCTCAGTTTTCAGGTAAACTTTCCACTTCTGAGTTCTCTAACAGTTACAGGTTTGAACTCCAAAAGCACCCAAAGCAGCTCATAAAAACTCAAACCCATTCCAAAAACTATATTCCTAGTGAGTAAAATATTAAAGCCTGTGCTTAAACTCTACTGATTTAACAAAATGTAAACATGCACAAGTGCTGGCTGGAATGTTCTTCAATCACCTTCAAGCATGATTCAAGTACTGCTGCTGGACTAGATTAAGTCAGGAAAAGGTTCCCAGGATTTCTGTAAATGTGTCTTAACCCTGTTAGTCTCCACAGGAGTTGGGCTGTTTATTTCCACAGGTTCAGCATCTCCCTTACAGAGGACCTGATGCTTCTCTTTGCTGTTTCGGAGTGAAGCTGATAACTTCAGTAGCAACCCCCATGTAAAATGGTGTAATACAAGGAGTGCCAGGTTTCCATTCAGATTTCAGATATAATATTGATGGAAAGTATTGGTCAAGCTTCCAACCCCTTCTGAGTCTGCTCATTATCTGTAAAATGATTTACAGTATTACTTGCCTATTTTTCAGGGAAGCAGCAATCATAATCTGGTTAATTGAAGAGGCAATTTGAGGTTCTCAGATAAAATACACTGCACAAATACTGTCCAAGACCATATTTTTACATTATAAATCAGAGAGAAAGATGAAACAATAAGGAACAATGGATTAATTGTTACATTCACTTAATAGAATTCATAAATGGATAAATGCTTAGAATCATTTGACTTGACAACATCTACTGCATTCTACGGCTCCAAACCTAAGAGATTCACAAGAGGAAAATTTACTGGAGCAAATCCCTGCAATAAAGATATGAGTAGCAGACAAGTTTTATCTTCTTGTTCATTTTGCTTTTATCCCAGAGCTACAGATTTATATACACACATTCCAATACTGCAGTTTGCTCTTAACTGTTCTAAAGTTGCTGAATTTTATTCAAATGGCTACCTGAATTAGTTGCATAGAGGAGAAAGGCAGTCTCACGAGACTGTATCTTGCAGGGCTGTTAAGAAAAAAGAACTTTTGAAGAGGCAGGAGAAATCTACTAATTGAGTTGCAGTCATTCAGCTGGACTCTTCTATAAGATGGTGAATTATATAATCTTCTTTTTCCTTAATGTAAAGGTTAACAACAGAATATCCAGGACACTATGGAGAAGATATGGACATGATGATGTACACTTACGACTATTATATCCGTGGGGCAACCACAACTTTCTCTGCTGTGCACAGGTTTGCTTTTCATCTGTTTCATTAGAAATTTTACAAATTCTGTCTTTCATATATCCTCTAACAGTGCATGGCTACACACCATCTGCTGTGGTACTCAGCATCACTCTAGTAATTCTGAGGACCAAAGTTCACAGTACATATGATTAATTGTCCAGAATGGTGTATCAGGAGCAAGGCATGCTAATGGGGATCATTTGACATTTCCATCTGAGCAGTGAAAAATACAGCAGTGGTAGGTTGGGCTGAATCTGACCTTCATCAAATGCAACAAATCTTCTGTACACTTTCTCACCTACCTCTAGTTGGAGCATATTTCATTGAGCTCAGTAAAGCACCCTGTGCCTTCAGGGAATGAGGGACCTAATTTGGTCCACTTTTCTTTGCAGAGAAGCAGGGAATCTGCCAGCATGCAAAGTTAAGACCATACAAACTGCGATGTGAATGCTTTAAGCTGCCCAATCTATTTCAGCACAATTCTAACAGATTCAAGCCACTCCAGGAATTCAGGCAGTGCCAAGCACCTTAATCCTTTTCCAGAAAATGAGTTAACTACATTTTCTTCATCAGTCCTGGTCATTTCTTGGCATTTGCTAGTCCTCTTGGGAGAGGCCCCATAGCTAGTGAAGTTGTAGTCATGCAAATGGATTCACAATTTTTCCATTTGGTTAAACAGGAATGTTTCTCCTTTTATACTATGCACAACTGCGAAGTTTTAAACTTTGGGTTTAACATAAATCCCACACTGTTATATGCCTAGGGCTACAGAGATCCTAGTAGAACAGGGTTAAGAAGAGTGTGAGTAGCCAGTGAAACCTGATTGTGGAAGAGGGATCTTGATTCTTTTAAGCTGCCCTCTAATACATAAATCATGAGGTATTTCTTTGCTGATGTCTTTTATTAGGCATCTCAGTCCAATAAATTAAAGCATTTGTTATCAAGTAAAACACAGATAGCAAGGCAAAGTATGCTGCACTGCTCTGCCAACATGGCTACACGAGAAAGGGGAGTGAAGAAAGAAGTGGGAGCTTAAAGACATCAATATTTCAAGCTGTCTCTAATAATATTCAAAGCAGCCAAAGTGCTTTTGTCATTGTAACACTCTCAGCTTGACAAAGTTCACCATAGGGATCCCCCAACAAAAAGGTCACCTAAAATAAAGAGGCTTTTCCAGAAGTGACAACACATTTTAAGACTGCTGCAGGTCCATAACTGTAATTTCCTGGCTAAAATACATTATCCTGTTTATTACCAAATGGAAGCCATGTCTGTAATTCTTATTACAAGTGGAAGAATAACTTTCATAGATACTCTACTCAAGGGTATCTATGTATCTCTTTAGATAAAGAAATTACAAGATCATAAGGGACAGCCCCATTCTGGGCTTTTCATCTTAAATATTTCCCAGTGCTGTCCTTAATCCTTGTTCCTCATGGCTGTGGCAGAGAGTAGGGGAAATAATGCAGACAGTGCATTCCCCTGCAGCTGGATTCCAGACTCCATCGCAAGCTGATCAGGGTAAAGTCTGGAATCATAAGAACAAGCCTGGAAAACAAAGCAGCCAAGGTAGCCTATGCCTCTGAGCAGATTGCTGTCTCTGACTGCTGAAGAAAGCCTTCAGAACAGGGTGCCAGTGGGAGGACTGCTCAGGAGCCAAGGCAGAATCATGGGAATGTACATTGGGAGTACAGGTCCTCATAAGACTACAGTGCCTGGAAGAGGAAGAAGCCACCAGCACAGCACACCTTTGTCTTATCTCTGCTCTGGTAGCAGTCAACTCCTGCGATAGTAGCAGGTTGAAACTACAGAGAAATTTTTTGAATTGAAAATTAGAAAAGTTTTCCGCACCAATGAACTTTCTGATCCTCAGCTTCCAGAACAACCAGAAACAATTTGTGTTGCCAAGAGAATGAAATGAAAAAATCATCTTGTTACACCAGTTCAGAATTCAGATTCAAGCTGTAACACTCCTCCTGAGCAGGATGAATCACAAAAGTCAGCAAATTTGTCATCCTTAATGATTCTTTGCAGCTCATGAAGCAGAATAGGAGCAGGAAAATATCTTCTGAGTCTCAGTCTGCCTGGAGCATGCACATTTCCACTTGGTTTTGGGAACATTTTTTAATTCCTCTTAATTTTCAAGCACATTAAACTTGTGTCCCTACTATTTAGTTCATATGGACAATGTTCTTGAGCTAACAAGAGGCAAGAAAAAGCCCCTGAAGGTATTTCAGTTTAAGCTTTCCCACTTCAAACAGGTAGGTATTTTTAGACTTCTTCAATAAACTTGAAAAAATCATATCTTCCTTTAATACTTCCTAAGACATTGCATCAGTGAGGCCACTATTGATACAAGGATATTTGAGACAGCATGTGATACTCGTGGCAAAGGACATAGAAAGTTTAGAATGATGCTATCCTCAGCAACACTTCTGTAATCACTTTGAGTTTCCATGCCTGTGTATCAGGAATGAATGAAAGAGTTATTGTTGATCATCAAAGGTTTTAACTGCTTGTTTTAGGGAGAGCAGACTTTGTAAATGATTACTATTTACATTTTCCAGTCTCATTTTAAATAGGTCAAAAGGAGAAAACAACTGTCTATAAAGCAAGACAAAAGCAGCTGGAAAGAATTAGAAAAGGCCAGAAGTAGCTCTGGGAGCCCATTCAGGAGTGTGGTGATGATGCTGATGCAGACAGGATGACCTAAGGACATAAACAAGGGAACATTTGCCGGGAAGGGCAGTATCTTTTGTTAGACAGACTGATACAGCCAAATTTCAGAGAAGGACATGGGCTATCTGAAGCAGGTTGTAAACAACTGAAACTGCCCCCATAAACATGCACACTGCAAACCCTTGGCAAAAGAGCTTCCAAAATTAAACCCACAAACCAAACATAATACCTTCAGCCTGAGCTCTGAAACATGCAAAGTGATGATGGCATGGCTTTCTGGTGGAGCACTGTGATATGGTTGGATCAGTCTCTTGAGTCCAGAGAGCACCCCTGGAACACTTACAACCCAACCTGCAGCAAGCACCGTGGACAGGGAGGTGGGAATTACCAGGTGCTCTTGGTAAGAGCCACAGCTTGTCCTTTGCTGTGTAGTATAAAAATAGCACTGCAGACTGTCATAAACTGGTTTCTTTTACAAGACTGTTCTCTGCTCCATTTGTTTGGGTCATCTGGATAACCAGTTATTTCTTAACTTGTCAGATATCATCACTGAAAAATAAATCGACAGCCAGGTATCCCAACAGTGAAGTATGCTTGAAATGCCCAGACAAGCTGGACATCCACCAAGCTCAGCTGAGTTAAATTATAGGGTATTTAAGGTCCATAATATGTTTCATATGCCTCATGAAAGCGGATTTTGTCAAACTCAATATGAATAGGAATTCACAGAATTTTTAACTGAATTAGAAACACATTATTCAACAATATTTGGAGATAAAAGAAATTTCTCTATACATCAAAAATTCAAATCTGACAGCACATGACAGTTGGAAAGCAAAAGTAACAGTTCAATATTGATTCCCAAAGCCAAGGAAAATGCATTAATTTAGCAACTGGGAGGGGATGACACCTACAAAATGTTGTTAAAGACCTACAAAGGCAAGTTCAGATATATTCTAGTGTATGCCTCATAAGGCAATACATGATGGCATCTGCATCCCCATTGGTAAACTTTTAAGAGATTGGTAATCCCATAAAATCTACAAATTGAAAAATGCTGATAGCTACTGAATTAAGCACACAGCAGCAACAGTGCATCCTCAGAAGCTGGGCATATATGCTTGAGTTCAAACTCAAGTAACAGGGCCATGGGGCCTCTCCCAAGAGGACTAGGAAATGCCAAGAAATTACCAGAACTGATGAAGAAAGGTAATATGCCATAAATGCATCAACCATGTACACATATGCTAGTGTCTACAAGTCCAAGCTGAAATGATAGCTTCAGAAATATTTCTGTTCCAGTATCTTAAAGATGTTATTAATTAATGTGCCCAAAATACATTTCTTTTAAAGAGCTTGGCTTTTAATTTCACAATGTCCTATTTTAGAAAAACTACTTGACCTAAGATTTTGAGCTAAAAAATCTCTCTGACAATGGGTGCTGTCTTAGCAGACCTTAACTTTGACCAATAGAATCCTGTTTTCCACAAAGGAATCCTCTTTTTTTTTTAATCTCTCTTGGTAACTTAGTGACCAAAAGAGTAATAACTGTCTTTGAAGAGCGTGCACATAGACCAAATAAGGGATTCTTAAAATAAAACTAAATATGAATCTTGCATTTCATTAACCTTTGGTAACAGTTTTACAAGAAAATTACAATTTAAAGCATCTAGGAAAGTTCTAAAGAAAACCAAAGCCAAACACTATATAACTGTTATATCGTACTTGATGATGAGCATGACACAGACCCAGTTCCAAATGACACTCAGGATAAACTTGTAGCTTAGCAGCACAGTAAAATTCCAATTAAAAAACCTCAGTTAACAAAAGCTGCAATGAGACATTTTATACCTACAGGGTAGGTACAAAATATAGACCTACAGGGCTTAAGAGTCAAATTAGTTTTATTCCAGGACAGAGTCACCCAGGCAATGACACCATATAAGCACAGCTAATACCAAAATCTGGGCTCAGGGATCTCAGCACATTCCCAAGAGGCAGCAGTTTGGCACAATTTTGGTGCAGGGGTCTTTAAATGCAAGCTCCTATTAAATCACCCATTACCAGCATTACCCATCCCATGCCTCAGCTTTAGGACATCACTATTAGCAGAATTCAAGCTTTCAGAAACCTCTTGGAGGACTACCCATTATCATTATAGATGACACTGCCATCTGCAAGGACTGTAGTTTGGATCAAAATTCAAGTTAGCCAGTATCAAGCAGTCTAAATTCAACATTCCCTTCACAACAGGACAGTATTTGATCCTATAATCTCATGCCTATTTGTCAAAGGAAAATTTAATGCACAATAAGCTAAGGAGGAAATGAAATCTGTTGCCTGTTGTGGCTACTGAACACTAAGTCACTGGCCTCCACTGTTGAATCCCACTGCTCCAGTCAGGCTTCCTACCAACAATTCTTAGGTTTCCTATCACTCTCTTGAGAGAGAATACCAATCACAAACTAAGGAGAGCATGAACTCCCCTTACATTCATAAATGTTACTCTTCTTCACATGTGACTTGACCGAAGATGAGAAATTAATTTCATTTCTCTCACTGCTGATTCTTTCAGGTTTTAATTAAAGGACACTAACTGTAGGACCTAGTATTGAAAGACATAAAAAAAAAAAAAAAAAAAAAAAAAAAAAAAAAAAAAAAGTGAAATTTGCTGTATGGATATATGGATAACGCCCCTCATAGACATAGCTTGCAAATCATAAGCTACTTTTCACTTTTTACACATTACTGAACAATGTATGACATGACAATAACTTTTGACAGAATTATCCTTTTCCTCTTGGTCACCAATTAAAAGTCAATTCAGGACTGATCACCATCAGGATTGTCTTCAGAGACCTACTTATTCAGAGAGCTGATTTTCTTATCTTGTAAAGGAGTGTGAGGGAATTGTAGCTACTGCACATATTTAATGTTCTTTTGGCTCTTGAAAACACAGAGCACTCAGATGAAAGTCAGTTAATGGCAGACAGATGTTTTTGTTGCCATAGTACCTGGTATAAAGTTATTCTTATTTGTATAACATGTTCTGGCTCACTAACACCTCTCTCTTTTCTCTCTTTCATGCAGGGATCGTCAGTGGAAATTTATTGTCTGCAGGATGACAGACTATGACTGCCCATTTCAAAATGTTTAAAAAGATTGAGTGTATTCCACTTGGAAAGCTTGGGGACAGACAGGGTGGGATTCAATTAGTGATTACAGAAGATCTATTAGGCTCACAAAAACATACCAAGATTTATTAGCTGTCTGCTGAAGACATAATTCTTTCCCTCTGGAGCAAATACATAAATTGCCAGCCCACATGCTTGCAACAGTGAATGCAGAGGATTCTTTCAAGCTGCACTAATAGTTGTGTCCCCCAATTAAATTTGCTTATGACATACATATTTATGATACACAAATCTATGGCGCATGCTCAGTTACCTTTCTTATACATACATATAGCCATTCTAAACACATACACCTTCCTTTCACATAGCAGCTCTATAGAAATGGCTTCCCAGCACCATAGCTGCTCCGAATGAGGTGGAAACATACTATACACTTCCCAGCATACACTAGACTTTCCTGTCTTCTACATCATACTTGGAACCAATCCAGTGACCCCCCACCAGCTTCTCAGAGCTGGAAGTGTGCAGAAAATATCATTGGGAGGTGTCTGATGGGCTGCACCTGACATTACCTGTTACAGCCCTCAGCACAACTCCACTGCAACAAAGGTATGCCCACATGGGAGAATTCTGGGTATTTACAACAGGAAGACATCAATAGCCGTTAAAAATGAGAGTAGATCTACCAATAAAAACAGAAAACTAACACAGCTTTACTGAGAGTCTCTTTTATATTGTCTTAAAAATCTATGATGACAAAACTAACCATGAACTCTGCTCTGGGCAAACCCAGGAGTAGGTCAGGCCATTCACTCTCAGTAAATATGGATACCACATTCTTCAGGAGTCTGAATTTCAGGTGGATTTGGTTTCCACTATGGGTGCCCGTACAACATCCATCTTCCCTTGGTAATAAATTCTTAGCTTAGAATAGACAAAGTTAGTGATTTAGGTGACCTTAGTTCCTCCAGTTTGCAGATCCTATAAAGTATAAATTCATGATGTTTCAACACTACACAGCACTTGTGCAGCTGCAGTCCAGGAAGAAAGACTATTGATTTGCTTCAGAAAGATCTGAGGTAGGATTTTCACTCTTGAACAAGCCAGAATTTAGGTTTCAGTTTCTTAGTTGATGAATTCAATAGTGAACTTAGCAGTGGCTTTGGTGCTGCTGGCTCAAGGGCCATGATGACTCCATGTGCCAATTTAAGGCTGCAAAGCTTCATAGGAAACAGTGGTGACTGCCAGTGAATTTCCATATTTCAAACATTTTTAGCATGTTTAGAAGCATACCCTCTTGTCCAATAAAGGAATGATAGGTTTTGCTTTGCTGTAGCCTTGTTCTTTATTGAATTTACTTACACCAGCTTATTGATTTGCGCACAAACAAACCCTCTGTCACTCTCAGAGACCATAAAGCTGATTAGGGAGTTCTGTGAGAGCCAGTTGCTGAGATATGTAGATAACAGTGAGAAAGAGAATTTGATAAGCTTAGGGAAGCTGGAGAAGCTTGATCACTGACTCTGGTAGACAGGCAAAGGAAGGCAAAGAACTCCAAACAGTAGAGTACTAGAAGTGAAGGCACTCATGCCAGGGAATCAGTGGAAAAGGCTGTACACTAAAATTAGGCACAGGAGGATCATCCCTGAAAAAACCTGCTCTAAACAGAAACCCATCTCCCACACAAATTTATCTTGACTACTTAGGTTGCTCTTCATTCTGTGTGCACACCATGGGCTTATGAAGGCCTCTGAGGGGACAGTACTTAAGCTGGACACATCTTAAGCTGGTTTAAATTAACAGAGTCACAGAAGAGAGCAGTCCTGGTCTCTTATCTTAGAGCTGCAGTGTCATATTGTCCCACATCATAGAATCATTAAGGGTGGAAAAGACCTCTAAGGTCATCAAGACCAACATGTGATGGAATGTCGTCATGAGAACGACACCATAGCACTAAGTGCCATGTCCAGTCATCTTGTGAATATGCCCAGGGATGATGCCTCCACCATCTCTCTGGGCAGCCCATTCCGATGTCTAATTACTCTTTCAGTGAAAAAAGTCTTGCTGATGTCTAGCTTAAACCTCCCTTGGCACAGCTCAAGGACATTTCCTCTTGTCCTTGTCTCTGTTAGTGTGGGAGAAGAGCCTGACCTTCACCTTTCTACACTCTTCTTTCAGGTAGTTGTGGAGTGATAAGGTCACCCTTGTGCCTCTTCTTCTCCGAGGCTGCAAAACTTCAATTCTCTCAGCTGCTCCTCATAGGACTTTGTGCTCCAGACCCTTCACCAACTCCGTTGCCCTTCTCTGGACTGACTCCAGGATCTCAACATATTTCTTCTCATGAGGGGCCCAGAACTGGACATGGAATCTGAGGTGCAACTTCACCGGTGTCAAGTACTGAGGGACAGTCGCTTCCCTAATACTGCTTGACACAATATTTTTTATACAGACCAGGATGCCACTGGTCTTTTTGGCCACCTGGGCACACTGCTGGCTCATGCCTCTGTTCTCTCTCATCCCTGTCCCAGTCCCTTGTTGCCACCCATGCTCTATTCCCAGATCCATCCTAGCAGTTCATCTGTGTAGGATACATTTCACAGGACCCCTCTTCAGAAAGTTAAGTAATTATCAGATGAGGAAAGGTGTGGGTGGGAAACAGAATGTATCTTGGGGGAAGGCAGAAATGGGATAGGGACCATAAAAATCCCCAAAAAGCAGAACAGAGGCAGAGAAAGAGTGGTTCCCGTGAAGTCCTAAGACAACTAGTTAACAAAGCTAGGACCTGAACTTAGCCCTTATCTAAGTTTTTATCTAAGTTGCAGTATCTGCTTCTAATATTGACTTAATACTTCTGTATGGGAAAACACCGCTCCAAAGCTGTTAAGACTCCAGCCCAAATTCCTTAGCACAGAGTGAGGTGGTGACAAGCCTGTCTCACAAACGTTTGCCTACTTCAAAACCTCATCAAGTTTGCTTTAACTTTCCTAGAGCCATTCTGGGAAAGTGAGCCTTTCAACCTGCTTAGGACACCTTAGAACACCAAATCTGAGCCACTTTTCACTCCTTCTGGCACAAACCAGATGCCATTGCAGGGAAATGAAGAGCTGTGCCTAGTCAGACTGAGTACAGCTCAGCACAGATGCCCAGTGCAGGGAGCCCACTGCACTTCTTCATTCTCCTGTGTTCCAAGGAACAGAAGCACCACACCTGCACTTGTAATATATGGAGTAAAAGTAATCCCTGACCTGAGAGTAAACACAAAGCCTAACATTTTAAATAAATACTTAGTCTTTAATAAATAAGACATCAGGAAATAAAGTTTTATTTATTTAATAAATAACAACAGTATGGATTGAATGTAAACATCTGAGAGAAAAACATTCCCTTGTAAATGCTAAGCATTGTGCCAGCCATGCTACAAGGGTTGCAGATGGCACACTTGTCAGCAATTTTTTTTTAGATAAACTAGGGCAGGAAAATCTTTGCATTCACAAAGGGAAATGCAGCAAACTTCAAGAAACAGATAGACCCTTTTGAGCTTTTCTAAATGGAAATAAAAACCGTGAAATGAGATGGTGTGGCTGTGGAAGAGAAACACCAATGGGCACCAGATTTTAGGCGTCTCCTTTAACTTGAAAGTCAGCAAAGGCAGGCGCTAAGACAAACCCACATCCTCTATTTGATCCACTCAACTTGAGGAGAGGTTTGAATAACAGAACAGTGTAAGTAATTAGGGAAAACAGACAGTCAAAGAGAAAGACTTGACTTCTCTTTTTCCTAAATCTCAAGATTAACTTAAAAACCATGTGACTTCTGTTAAAAAATGAAAAGAATGAGCTCAATTTTTAAAGATATTCTGATTTCTCAGTTTGCAGAGTATAAAAACACTTCTAGTATTTTTCACTTTCAGTAATTTTCAAGTGTTCAAACAGTGTTTCCAATTACTTCTCAACAATGCTGAAACTTGAAATTTGTTTCTTAAGTGAAGGCTGAGATTCTTGTTTAACCACTTGAAAATGAGAACTGGGACATACATCAGCACTTTAAAAAATATTTTAAGTCCTGTTTTCCAGGACATCAAATACTATGAAACTCATGATAAACCCTGACAACACAGCACTGATGAAAAACGAAATAACAAACCTGTAGCCATGTTGAAATAAGGCTTCTTTCCTGTAAGGTCAAGAGAGACCTTTCAACCTCTTCCAGCCCAGTATTAAGGATTTTGTAATATGAGATAAGCCTGGCAGAGAGTCATGGCATTACCTAAGCAGAGAGATGTCAACAAAGCTGAAAGAAAACCAGTCTGTGAGTGAACCAGAAGATATGGCAGAAGATCAGATGGCTCTTTGGAAAACTTACTTAGATTTGACCCTTAACACACAGCCACTGAATTTTTCTATTTTAAAACTTGATTCCAAGTCCATGTTTATTGCATTAGCAACAGGTTACTGTGCTGGCCTGCATCTTTAAGGCTACAGTAGTGTTTGCAATCAGAGAGCATGAACATCAATGGTAGTGGCACTTTGTGCCAGAGTTGTTGGTGTGAACCATAGGCAGGAGGAGTTCTGCTATAACACATTATCAAACATAAAACAGTGCTTGTGCTTACATTTACTTCTCAAGACAGAGTATTTACAAAGGGGACTGCTACTTTATTTCTCACATTTCAGGGTTCTGGTATGTGTTTGGCTGATGCCCTGAAGAATAATCTGGACCTATGCTTTGAGAAGTTTAGAAAAGGCACAGGGCTGCCCACATGCTGGAAATAAAAGACTAAAAAAAACGCCTGCAGATCAGAGACAACAGGCTTGTCTTTGTCTTTCTCCATACCTGAGCAACATCCATTTCAGTCTCACCCAGCTTGTTAAGCTTGGCCAAATTCAATGGTGTTCAGCCTTAAGAGTCATGCATGTAAATACTTTTCAGGATCTTAGCTGATGTACCTCTGCAAGAAATACTGAATAAACTGGAACTCAAGTTAGAGGCAGTCAATCAAAGAGTGTGCCAACAGACACATGAATGGTCAAGGCAGCACATATTCTGTACTGTAGGGAATGCTGTTCTCCAGGACGGTTTTGATGAATGGAGATGAGAGATCTCTAATGGTTGCTCTTAGAATATAAGGTTTATTAGGGATGGTGAAAGGTCTTGCTTGGAGCTGCCAGACACAGCACGTGGCAAGGCCTAAGGTGATGGGGGAGGGGAGAGACGAGGGGTAGAGAGGATGCTCCAGGAGAGGGTGGAAGTTCCAAGAGAGTGTCTGGCTCCTCAGAGACCCCTTATCAGGGGGCCTCAAGGTGGGCTGGAACAAGATTTGGGCCAATGGAGTTAAAGACACTTGATGCTTCAGGGGAGGGTTACAGGTGTGGGATGAACCATACATTTTGGGGGGTTGAGATGGAACAGTCCATTTGACTTTTGGACCTATCTGTAGGTAAGGGTATTGTCCAGCCAGTAGGGGGGGTTGTTTTCATCCTGGCTGTACTATTGTGAATCTTTTGCCAGGCAATTATATTTATCCATCTTTCCCAACACTGTACATAGTTTTTTAAGACATAAAAGACCAGAATTGGTCAGGCCATTGGACTGGATGGTCACTGCAGGTAATTTCCAATTGAAATTGTGTATTCCCTTCCATCCTACTTGAAAAATCTGACTTAACCTCATGAAGACCACAACTCACTTTGCCTTAAGTTATCATTAAATCATTTAAGAAGAGTAAAAGAAGTTTTGCTAAGCTTAGCATTACAGACTTGTCTTAGATAAATCCCAGTATGCAAAAAAGGTCACAGCTACATTTTTTAGAATGTGAGTTTTAGTTTAACTACAGGGCCAAATTCTCCAGGTCTTGCCAAAAGACAAATCGCCACGCTGCAGAACCTGATTCCAAAGAGATCATCCCAAAACATGAAAAACACAGAAGATATAGATGCAGAAGAGATGGTTCTATCTCAGATAAAATTGAGGAAAATTACGAGAACCAGAGTGAAAATAGTGGAAGAAACATGAAGCCACCTGAAGAATATGTCATTATGTAATTTCTTAAAATAAATGCATGCTTCTCTCTCTTAGGAGATGAGATGACTAGGATAATTTAATACCAGCAAAGATTTTGGAGAAAGCTCCCCAAATAACTTTGAAAATAAAAAAGCCAGCACAGTACATCAAATATCATCCTTGAAAAGCAGAGGAGTTGCCAATTGAAGCAGAATCAACAGATAATGTTGCTATAAATATTTTCATCTGTGTTTGGAGCTCTTAACCCTTGACCAAAGAAAACAAAGATATGAGAACTGAAGGAATAAGCTAACAGTGAAGCATAAGTGGAAGGA